CCCTTCTCCATGTGTGACTTAGTTTCTTTCTGTCTCCACCTTTCTCCTGTCTTTGTTCCCACTTCATTCAATGCCTCATCTTCTCCCCTATTTTTTGGCTCTGCCCATCCCTCTAGGTTACCCTTCCCCTGGAACCTCCTGTTGTAGTGTCTGGAAGGCCACTTGTGTTCAGCGTGGATGCACTGCTCCAGAGGGTCACAGTCCGGATCCATGGGGAGGTCAGCAGCTTCTGGATCAGGAACCCTGCAGGTATTTCCGCGTGTGTGTCTCAAGGCAGAGGGAAGAATGGAGAATGAAGGGTGACATCCTAAGGGACAGGAGCTAGCTCATGTGCCAATCTCTTGCTCCCCCACCCCCACCAGGGGTCTCCCAGGGCCAGGAGGAAGGCGAGGGACCTCTAGGTCACACTCGCCGCTTTGGGCAGTTCTGGATAGTTACCATCAGTGACCCCCCACAGACAGGGACCTGGGAGATCCTGGTCACAGCCGAGAGCACACCCCGGGTGAGAGTGCAAGGTAAGGAGGGAGATATTGCTGGGAAGGGAAGGGACGGGAAGGCTGCAGAGCTCAGAGAGCGGTATCAATCACATTCATCTCAGGAAGGTCTCTGATTGCCTTGGCCCTCCTCAGCCCAGACATCCCTGGACTTCCTCTTCTACTTTGGGATCCCTGTGGAGGATGGCCCCCACCCTGGCCTCTACCCCCTGACTCAGCCAGTTGCAGGTATGTCTACCCACCCCCCCCACTTGTCCATTAATATATATACATGTATATATTGTATATGTATATGTCTATATATATATATATGTATTGTATATTGTGTATGTATATTATGTGTGTGTGTATATATATATATATATCCTTTTATTGAGTTATAACTTGCATATAATGAAGTACACTAAAGTATACAGCTGGGTGGATTTCATATAATGCACTCATGTATCCATCACTCGACTCAAGATTTAGAACATTTTCAGCATCCCAGAATCTTTCCTGACCCTGCCCAACAATAGCCCTCAGAGGTAACCCCTTTTCTCCATTCATACTTATCCCCAGAGGTAACCCCTATTCTAAAAGCAGATCATTCCTTTCTCCCTGTCTCTGAATCTCATGTGGACCAGTGTTCTCCCCTCCCCTCCCCTGTCCCAGGCCTCCAGACCCAGCTGCTGGTAGAGGTGACAGGGCTGGGCTCCAGAGGCAACCCTGGAGCTTCTCTGCCGCATTTCTCTCACGTCGTCCTACGAGGGGTCCCGGAAGGTGCCGAGCTGGGCCGGGTGCCTTTGGAGCCCACGGGACCGCTGGAGCGAGGTTTCCTCGCGGCCTCGCTACCGTCCGCACTTCTGTCCACTGCGGGACCTTTCTCTCTGGAGTTGATTGGCCGGGACGGAGAGGGGCAGAGCCTGCACCGAGCTGCTCCCCAGCCCTGCACCGTGGTGCCTGTCCTTCTGGAGGTGAGACGCAGGAAGAAGGTGCAGGTAGGGCTGGAGAGAGCTGCAGCCTCCTCGCCGCCTGACCCGCTCCTCCTCGCCTGACCCGCCCTCCTCCGTAGCTCAGCGGCTCCCCGGGATTCCTGGCTCCAGGCAGCAAGGCCCCGCTCAGCCTCCGCATCGCCAGCTTCTCGGGCCCTCGGGATCTCGATCTTAGGACATCTGTCAAGCCCAGCTTCGCTCTCACCTCCAACCTCTCCAGGTATTGCCCCTGAACTCTCCGGTTCAGTTCCGGCCCACCTTTCGGTTCCCCTGGCGTGGGAGCTGGTACTTTAAGCCCCGCCCACAGCAGCCACTTTCGCTTGGCCCTCAGATTCTCGCCTCCCCTCCCTTCCCCTCCAGCTTTGGGCGCGGACCCTGGGCTCTCAACTATTCGAGAGCTTGGGCCTTCAGCCCGGCGTCCGTACTCGACAGGGTTCGCCTGGAACCAAATGAGACCGCCTGGGGGCGCCTGTGGTTGGAGATCCCGGACTCAGCGGCTCCAGACTCCGTGGTGATGGTGACTGTGACTGCGACAGGTCCAGAAGCCAGCCCAGTGCCCCCGACCCATGCCTTCCTCCGGCTCCTGGTGCTGGCCCCCACCCCGCAGGTGAGGCACCCCCACTTTCCATCGCAGGATAAGCAGTGTAAGGGGTGGTAGGTGCAGGCTTAATTTGGGTGCAGACACGCTGACCGGCTCTCCCTCTTCTCCCTAGGACCCGCTTGCTGCCCCTGCCCACTCATCTGGCCCTATCCTCGCCTCCACCAGCCCTGCCTCCACTTCGGTGACTCAGGGAAGGGCTGGGGGAGGGCTGGTGGGCAACCCCTGTTGGGGCACAGTTGGAGGGGTGCTGCTTCTGCTAGGCCTGGCCTCCTGGTGACACCAGAACCCCTAGAGGGATGTGCCTGCATGCAGCGCTATTTTTAGTGTGGCCCCACTGGTGAGAAGGCAACCGGGCCTTGGGACCCGACCTCTCCCAACTGGGATGGAGGTTTTCCTTCTCACACACTTGTCCCTCTCTTTCTTTGTGAGATTGGGATAGAGGGCAATGGACTTTCCCACAATGCGCTTTCCCCAACCCTGCTGGGAACCAAAGCAAATACTCCTTTTTGGAGAAAATTGGCCTCTATTTCTCTGTAGCAAAATCTCTTTACTCCACTATTTATTCATGCTTTCCTAAGCTCAGGTAGAAGGAAAGATATATGGGGAGGAGACTAAAGTTGAGAGTGGGGGGTTTATAGAATTGTTCTTACTTGAAATTCTGAGGAAGCTCCTATTTTATTTTTGTATTTAAAGCTGAAGGACAGTTTCAATAAACATGTCTTCTCTAGAGAGGGATTTCAAAGAAAGATCATTTATGCAGATCACTTAAGGGCGAGTGAGGGCATAAGACACCAAGCAGATGAAATGAAGTTTTCAGTTGTGGAGAAGAAACTTTACACCAAGATGTTAGGAATTCAGTTGGCCCACCACCTGCAGCCATTTATCTGTTAAGTCAAGAAGCAGGATAAGGAGACTGGGGGTTCTGACTCAGCCTCCCCTGTCACCAACTGAGGAAATCGAGAGGAGGCTTCACACACGGGTGGGGCCCCTCCGCATATTGGGGCAGCCCAGCTGAGCAGTCTCCCCTTTGGGCTGAGTGCCTCCTTTCTGCTGCCTTGACAACTGGAGAGGAGGAGAGAACCGGTGTGGGCATCTGTGCTCCTCCCCGCCTGCGGGCCGGGGCTTCCGCCCTGCCCCCCACTTCCCTACAGTTTACCTGCTGCTGCCATGCCGTCTGCTTCCTTGGCCTTCCCTTCCAGTCCTGGGTGGCACAGGAACTAGCCTGATTCGAGGGATGTGGGGAGAACTGGGAAGGAGAGGAGGCTGGGATTTGCTTTTCTCTGTTAAACCAGTGCTGACCCCAAGTCCCCTCTCTACCCCCTCTTCCCGAGAGTACAAACTAAAAACAATAAACTCACCTTCTCCTGAATCAGATTCTGCAAACAGATGTTCATATTTTGAATCTGGGCTAACTGGGGGCCACCAGGCTCTGAGTGTAAATCTGATAGAAAATTCTAAAGGAGGAGTTAGAGGCTGACAGCATGGTGAAACCTTGAGGTCCATCTGCCGCTCTTCTGTCACCACAGGCCATTACCTCTCCAGCTGGATCCCCTCACCACAGAACCGCCCCCCCCCCCCCACAGGTAGAAAAATCCAATACTCTCCCTACCATCTCTTTAACAGTCCCGTTTCAACATCCCCCTCAGGTGGGATAGTACCCCTTTCCCTGTTCTTTATGGATCCTCCCTGTCCAGTCCTGACCCATTGGAATAATCCAGGCCACTCCCCCATCTCAATGGAGTGATCCAAATCAGGTCCCTCTGAATGGAATGCAGACCGGCCTCCTCCAATCCCGACAATGAACACCAACCTGCACTTGGTGGCATCCAGTCATTACAATTCATGATCCCTGCCCATTAACTCTTGCCTTTCCAGGGTGGTGTCAGGCTGTGTCCACATGTCCCCCGTGCCCCCAGAGCCCCCCTGCGCCGCACAGAAGCCCCGTACCTCACCAAGAGCCCCCAGATGCAGCTGTTGTTGCTGTGCCTCCCTCAGACGGCCCTCAAACCAGGCCTGGCCGTGCTCCAGCAGCTCCAGCCCCTGCCACAGGGCGTCCTGCTCCCTCTCCAGAGCCTGCATCTTCTGCAGCTGGAAAGGCCAGAAGCAGAGGCTGACTTGCTCCCCAGCAGGGCTCTGAGCCCTGGCCGTTTCTCTCAACCCTTGGTTGGGTTCACTGGTCACTGAGTGTGAACCCAGACTGACCACTGAGCTGGAGGGCAAGGGGAAGCAGGGGAGAAGACTTACGGGTCCTGAAAATTGAGTGGAAATGTAGGGGCAGATCCAGGAAGTAGGCTTCCCTGGGACCTCTTGGGCTAATACTCACCCAGAGGAAGAAGCTCCGGGCCCCTGGGTCTTGGCGGCTTGTCCCTAATGGCAGCAGCAGAACTGTGTAGGGGGCCTGTACCAGGGGCAGCCCTCCGGGCCCCTGGCTCCCCATGGCTCGGAGGTGGGAAGGGTGGAGCCACGCCCACTGGTGCTCAGGGTGGGTCCCTCCCCTTCCCCCTGCCTGGTGCCCATCCCACCTTTTCAGCCTCTCAGAGCCTTTCCTGCTGTGTCTCTGAGGCTGGGGTGTTCCTACTTAAGGGGAAAAGACCACCTCCATTGGGTTTCTCTGTCTTCCTTCTCATCTGCTTTTGTAGGGTCTGTTGAAAGAGCTGGTTCTCATGAAGTCCCCTGGGTAGAACCCAAGGGTCCCCCTACAGCAGTGTCACTGTGTTGTTTTAAGCTTGTTTTTTTAAAGTAATCTCTACACCCAACATGGAGTTCCAACCCACCACCCCGAGATTGAGAGGCACACGCTCCTCTGAGCCAGCCAGGTGCCCCAGTGTCACTGTGTTCTTAATGAGGCAGGGCAGGCCCCTCTGTGGACTTCTGCTTGGTGCTTCATGTCTTTCCTATTGTTTTGTGATGCTGCTCTAAAGAAACAATACCTTGCTCTGAAATAAACTTTATTCCTGACGTGAAACAGAATTTCCAGGAAAATTGAGAATTTTGGGCCTGAGGGAGACCAGGAAAGAGACAGGGCATGGCAGCTCGCTGGGGTCTTGGGAAGTGGAGGAAAGCCAAGGAAGGACTCTCAAAGGATGCCAGTGGCAGCCGGCAGCACTTCCTGACTCATGAAAATGTCCAGGTCCAAGTTGGGATCTTCCAAATCCAGTTTCAGAAATTTATCTACCAACGTCTGGCAACTAATGGGAGAGAGAAAAATGGGATTTATGGGAGAAGAGATAACTGAGTCCCCAGGCAGAGGAGAGAGGCTGTGGCACAGGGAGCCCAGGAAAATTTAGGGATTTCAGGATAAATCGTGGGTCTCTGAAGGACAAAGAGGCTGAGTCCCTGAAAGGGGGAGAAGAGCTGCAGACATGCTAGAGAGAGCCGGGACACTGGGCCACACACTCACTTTTCCATTTGCTTCTCCTTTAGCAACTCCTTGACAGGCTTGATGGGTTTCCCACTGCGGATCAAATCTGAGACCTAGGAACCAGAGGAGGGTGGGGTGGGGGTGGGGTGTGGAGGAGGGGGAGTTGGGTAAGAGAACTGGAACTAAGGGTCAGAAATCCCATGGACCCAGAAAGCCAGGCTAACGGAAGGGAGCCCTGATGGAGGTACTTGACGTTTGGATCTCACCTCCTTGCCACGGGCAATGAGATTGCCGGGAAGCCCAGCCTGGGCAGCTGTGTAGGATGCATGGCTGGCGTTGGCAATACCTTCACAAACCTGATAGAAGAAGACTAGGTCGTCCCCATCCTCACAGGTCTCCATGGTCTTAAAAGAGATACAAGGGGACAGTGTGTCATCAATGTCTCTGCTTCCTGCCCTGAAACCCTTGGCCAATCCCTGTGGGGAGTGAGAAATGGGAAGGGATGTGGTTCCTGTGCTCAGGGAGCCCCTGTCGTACCTGAAGAGCCTGTCCTCAGTTCTGGTAAATGCTCATCCTATGGATCCCTAGAGGGCTAGATGGGTTTCCTTACCAAATACTGCACAAGGGGCCCCTGTGGCAGCAGCTGTAGCTGAACAAGGCTCAGAAAGTTGGTGGCCACAAAGATGTGAGGGCACATGGGTCCAAGTGCCAGCCAGTGTCGTAGCACAGCAGCTAGAAGCGCAAGCCCATCCACCTGCACAGAGGGCAGGGGTGAGGGTACTGAACCAGAGGTGCCCTGTGTACACCTCTCCACCTGCCCTGGCCTGCCCCATCTTGCACTTTTCTGTTTCTTTCCTGCCCCATGCACTCCTGTTCCTTTCCCGAGGCACAGCGTCACCCTCGTGCTCCTTTGTCTTCCCCCGGCTTCCCCTCCTCAGTTTCTCATCCTTTTGTCTCCTCACCGTGTTGGTTCCCTTTCCAAATTCATCAATGAGGACCAGAGACTGCTTGGTGGCATTGTTCACTGCTTTCGCCACCTGCTGGGTACCAGGTGGACAAGGGAGAATTTCATTGGCATTCAAGCCTGTAATGCACTGACCACAGTCTGCCTGTGAATAAAGCTGCTATACATGTGTCCACCCTACTGGACTGCAGGTTCTTCAGTGGTAAGACACACATTTCATTCATCCTTTCATTGCCAACAGTGTCTCATGCAAATCAAAGGTTCAGTAAAAGTTCATGGTATTGATTCTCCCAGTCTCTGAATTTGGTGCTTCCTGCCCCTAATACAGAAGGCATGCTGCAGAATGAAGATTTTTCTTGTTCTGATCATTTTTCTTTTTAGATTTTTTTTTTTCATTTAGAGAGAAAGCATGGGGGGGGGGGGGTGTAAAGGGGCAGAGGAAGAGAGAGGGAGGGAGGGAGGGAGGGAGAGAGAGAGAGAGAGAGAAGAAAATCTTAAGCAGGTTCTATGCTCAGCATGGAGCCCAACACGGGGCTTGATCCCACAACCCTGGGATCATGACCTGAGCTGAAATCAAGAGTCAGACGCCCACCCAACTGAGCCACTCAGGTGCCCCTGATTATTTTTCAAGAGTAGAGTTCCTTCCTTACTAATACCCTCCCACAATCCCACCCCCCTTTGCTCCCTTTGACCTGGTTAAGGTCGATCATGAAGGTGGAGAGGCCCAAGGAGATGGATTCGCAGCTATGAATCCGGGTGAAGATGGCATCTACCGCCCCAATTTCGGCTTCCTCTGCTGGCACAAAGCTGCCCACCAGGGCCATGAATGTGATCAAGCCTACCTAGAAACGGAGGAGACAGGGCCTGGGGCCTGATGGTGTGGGCTGGGGTAAAGGTGAGTCAAGGCTGAGGGGTGAATTATAGATCAAAGAGGGATGGACACAGTTTAATAGGAGAGTAGAGCCCCTTCAGCTTTCTTTAGAATCAGGAAAAAGGAAGGGGGGAGGGGCAGAGGCACACCTGGGAATGGCATGGATCTATTCAGAGATGGGGGAGAGGATTTCAGGGCACAGAAAGATCTGTTAGAGCATGGCTCTCCCTCAAGTACAGAATGGGAACACATGAGGTAGAGGAGCAGGGAGTGTGGACTACAGACTTTTCATGACAGATCGGGTCAGAACACAGGGGAAGAGCTGTAGGGACCCATGTTTGCAGGCAGGTGGGAGATGGAGACAATGAAAAAGATGCCAGAGGCCCAGTGTGCAGGGATTCTCCTCACTTGTTTTTTATTTTATTTTATTTTATTTTATTTTATTTTATTTGGGGGAGAGTAGAAGTAGGGGAGGAGCAGACAGACGGGGACAGAGGATCTAAAGCAGGCTCTGTGCTGACAGCAGCGAGCCCGATGTGGGGCTTGAACTCATGAACTGTCAGATCATGACCTGAGCTGAAGTTGGGTGCTCACGGGACTGAGCTACCCATGTGCCCCTCTCCTCACCTGTTTGAGGTATATGCTCTTCCCTGAGGAGTTGGGTCCGGTGATGACTTTGATCCTCCCTTTGTCCCCGCCACACTCTGCAGAGTTGGGCACGAAGGTTCGGGCACAGAGTTCCATCAGAGGATGTCTGCAGTAGGTAGAGAGTTACCTCACACATGGCCTATGAATCCAGATAAATGAAGGCACCAGAGATGGGGCCTTTGGGCCCCTTGTATCTATGCCTCCAGCCTCTTCTGTTCTCACCTGCCATTCAGGATTCGGACCCCAAGGAGTTGGGGGGAGTAACGGGGCCTTGAGTAGCCATAGTCCCGGGCAGCACTGGCAAGAGCCAGCAGGACGTCCAGGCGGGAGGCAAGGTCCAACACACGGGTCAAGACAGCTGCCCGCGCCAGCACCTGACACTGCAGCTGGTACATCAACAAGGTCTCCTGGTCTAGAGGTAGGGGAGGAAGGGGGTGGACATTAGCTCCAGGAGAAAATGAAGAAGAGACAAAGAAGCCAGCAGAAAGACCTGGAAATAGGCTTGCAGAGAAAGAGTCTGAGACACCCCGAGACATTGAGAGGAAAAGGTACAAAGTCAGAGTGAGAGAGCAGGAAGAAAGGAGCCTGTTAGAATATCCTCCAAGCTGCCCGCTCCCCTCCAGCCTTTTGCTTCTCCTCACCCCGGATATCACAGTGCAGGTCCCCCAGCAATGCATCCAGCTCCTTGGTTCGAGCACTACGATAGTGCAGCTTCTCCTCTGACAGAAACTGGGTGCAAGGGTTCAAAGCTGTGGGCCTTGCATTAATGGTCTCCATCTTCTCTAACATCACCTCCAGCCCCACCCCAACTTTTTTTTAAAACTTTATATTTTATTTATTTAAAAAAATTTTTTTTTAATGTTTTTATTTATTTTTGCAACAGAGAGAGACAGAGCATGAGCAGGGGAGGGGCAGAGAGAGAGGGAGACACAGAATCGGAAGCAGGCTCCAGGTTCTGAACTGTCAGCACAGAGCCCGATGCGGGGCTCGAACCCACAGACCGTAAGATCATGACCTGAGCCGAAGTCGGACGTTGAACCGACTGAGCCACCCAGGCGCCCCGTTAACTTTATATTTTAAAATAAAACAGGGCGCCTGGGTGGCTCGGTTAAGCATCTGGCTTCCACTGAGGTTGTGATCTCATGGTTCCTGAGTTTGAGCCCCACGTCGGGCTCTGTGCTGACAGCTCAGAGCCTGGAGCCCGCTTCGGATTCTGTGTCTCCCTCTCTCTGCCCCTCCCCCGCTCACAGTCTGTCTCAAAAATAAACATTGAAAGAAAAAAAACTGAATTAAACAAATGTGTAGAAGAATTATTATGAGGCAAATACCCTGTGACTAACCATGTAGGTTACAAATTGAGTTAAGAAATTAAAATTTTGCCAGCTACCCCAGAGAGCCATCCTATCACAACCTTCTCCAGCTCCTCAAAAGTAACCTCTATTCTGACCTTTCTGGGAATCAATTCTTTATTTTCTTTGTAAGTTTATCACCCAAATATTCATTCTTAAACACTAGTTATGCCTCCCCTTGATAATTTCTGATATATATATTTTTAATTCTAGTATAATTAACATACGGTGTTATATTAGTTTCAGGTGTACATATAGTGATTCAATACTTCTATGTATACTGTTCAGTGCTTATTAAGGTAAGTGTACTTTTTATTTTTAATGTTTCTTTTTGAGAGAGAGAATGTGTGAGTGGGGAAGGGGTATAGAGAGAGGGAGACATAGAATCTGAAGCAGGCTCCAGGCTCTGAGCTGTCAGCACAGAGCCCAATGTGGGGCTCAAACTCACGAACCCTGAGATCATGACCTGAGCCGAAGTTGGATGCTTAACCGACTGAGACACCCAGGTGCCCCAAGATAAATGTACTCTTAATCCACTTCACCTGTTTCACCCATCCCCCCACCCACTTGCCCTCTGGTAACCATCAGTTTGTTCTCTATAGTCAGGAGTCTGTTTTTTGGTTTTGTCTTTTTTCTTTGTTCATTTTTGTTTCTTAAATTCCACATATGAGTGAAATGATATGGAATTTATCCTTCTCTGACTTATCTTACTTAGCATAATACTCTGTAGATCCTTCCATGCCATTGCAAATGGTAAGATCTCATTCTTTTTTATGGCTGAGTAATATTCCATTGTGTGTACCACATCTTCTTTATTCATTCACCTATCAGTGGACACTTGGGCTGCTTGCATAGTTTGGCTATTGTAGATAATGCTGCTATAAACATAGGGGAGCATGTATCCCTTTGAATTAGTGTTTTTATATTCTTTGGGTAAATAGTCAGCAGTGTGATTCCTGGATCATAGGGTAATTCTATTTTTAATTTTCTTTGGAACTTCCATACTGTTTTACACAGTGATGGTACCAGTTTTTGTCCCCACCAACAGTGCAGGAAGGTTCCTTTTTCTCTACATCCTTGCCAACATTGTTGTTTCCTGAGTTTTTGATTTTAGCCATTCTGACTAAAGTGTGGCTTTAGGTGTGAGGTGATATCTCATTGTGGTTTTGATTTGTATTTCCCTGACAGTGAGTGATGCTCAGCATCTTTTCACGTGTCTGTTGGCCATAGATGTCTTCTTTGGAGAAATGTCTGTTCATGTCTTCTGCCCATTTTTTAATTGGATTATTTGTTTTTTCTTTGTTATTGAGTAATATAAGTTCTTTTTTTTAAATTGTATTTATTTAAGTAATCTTGGGGCCCCTGGGTGGCTTGGTCGGGTAAGGGTTTGACTTCAGCTCAGATGGCGATCTCACCATTGGTGAGTCTGAGCCCCGCGTTGGGCTCTGGGCTGACAGCTCGGAGCCTGGAGCCTGCTTCAGATTCTGTGTCTCCCTCTCTCTCCCTGCTCCTCCCCGCCCTCTCAAAAATAAATATTTAAAAAAATTTTTAAAGTAATCTCTACACTCAACATGGAGCTCAAACTTACAACTGTGAAATCAAGAGTCGCATGCCAAACACCCCTATAAGTTCTTTACATATTTTGGATACTAACCCTTTATCATATATGTCATTTGCAAATATCTTCTCCCATTCCACAGTTGCCTTTTAGTTTTTTTGGTTGTTTCCTTTGCTATGCAGAAGGTTCTTATTTTGATGTAGCTCCAATAGTTTATTTTCACTTTTGTTTCCCTTGCCTCAGGAGAGGTATCTAGAAAGATGTTGCTACAACCAATGTCAGATAAATTACTGCCTGTGCTCTCTTTCTAGGATTTTTATGGTTTCCTGTATCACATTTAGGTCCTTAATCCATTTTGAGTTTATTAAGTAGGCTTCATGCCTGGCGTGGAGCCCAATGCAAGGCTTGATTCACGACCTTGAGATCAAGACCTGAGCTGAGACCAAGAGTCAGTCTGACTGACTGAGCCACCCAGGTGCCCCTCTCTATTGCGTATTCTGGGCTTTCTATTCTGTCCTATTGATCTATGTGTGTATTTTTGTGCTAGTGCTATATTGTTTTGATTACTACAGCTTTGTAATAAAACTAGAAGTCTGGAATTGTGATACCTCCAGTTTTTTGTTTTTCAAGATTGCTTTGGCTATTCAGGGTCTTTGATGTTCCATACAAATTTTAGGATTCTTTGTTCTATTTCTGTGAAAAATACTGTTAGTATTTTGATAGGGATGGCATTAAATCTGTAAACTGTAGTATCAACATTTTAACAACAATTGTTCTTCCACTTCCAGAGCATGGAATGTCTTTCCATTTCTTTATGTCATCTTCAATTTCTTTCATCATTTTGTAGTTTTCAGGGTACAGGTCTTTTATCTCTTTCTCACCTGACTTCTTTCTCTTTTATCTCAGAGCTGGTAAAGATCAAAGTAAAACTGTAGAAGAGACATCCCATATTGGGCAGTGCTGATGGGGGAAAGCCCTCCCTCAGCTGCTGACTCATTTCCCTCATCACCCTCCCCCCCGCCCCGCCATAGAAGTCAAGGGCCTTACCATGAAGTCCAGTCCTTCAATCTCAAAGTCACTAGCCTCTACCATAAAAGGCAGGCGGGGAATACAAAGAAGAAAGCCAATCTGGGGAGAGTGCAGAGGAGTTAAAACAGGGAGTAAAGTACTGGGCACCTTATCTCCCTAGAGGATGCCAGAGATCCCAGTATTCTCCAGTGCTTTTCTCAAGGGCCTAAAGCCACCAACCGTGTTCATATTCTTCACACTTCCCCAGGGGTTTTCTTATCCAGCAGTGTGTCCTTCATAAACCTAATATCTCCCATAAAAGACCCCTGGAGGCTACACCCGTCCTCCTGCCCTCACCAGAGGGATGTAGATGACACTGCATGAAGGAATACGGGAGTCCAGATTCTCTAGCTCCTTTCGGGCAACCTCAGTGAGGAAACTGGGAAGTCCCATCAGCCTTCGTTTTTCTAGGAGGGTGGAAGACATATGAGTATCAAAAGTAAGGTTCCTGCCCTGTTTGCCATGGTTAGTTAGCCCCAGTTGTAGTGGCCACCTACTGATGATGGTACCCCATCACTGGGCAGGCTCGTGTTTGGGGCCCATAAGCCCCACTGCACACCCAACACTCACTCTCATCAATTTCAGGATCTATGTTGGGGAGGACTGTGAAACGATTTTCAGCAAGACTGCCCTCAAAATCCACCTGAGGAGATAAAAAGTCCAGTTGCTCATCACCCAGAACCATCTCCCAATCCTGCTCCTCACCTCTACTCGGGTCCCAATCCTCCCTGCACTTCCTGCTTTAACCCTAACCCTCCAAGCAGGTCTCTGACATTCTGACACTTCCTCTCACCATCTCATTCTTTGGTCATCCAACTGACTTTGATGTCTCTCATCTTCCATAGCACATTCCCCAGAGCACAGTCCTTCTGTGTCCTCCAATCCCACCTCTCTTCCCTAGGTCCCCAGGGGTTCTGCCTCTGTCTTCCACTCACCACTTTCCCAATGAGGCTGGCAATATGGTGCAGGTCATCAGAGAACTCTTGGGCAATGTCCTGAAAGAGCTGGATGGACTGGGGCAGGGAGCGGCAGGCATCCCTCAGGCCCAGGGCACTATACACAGTCTGCAGCAGAAATGGACAGAAAATGGGCTGAGGTGAGGGGACAGGGATGGACTGAGAAGAACAGAGAGCAGCAGGGGGAAACACAATATAAAAGACAGAAGATCTCAAAGGCAAAAAAGAAACAGTGAGGAAAATGTCATCTGTAAAATTCTGTGTCAGGCACTACACTAAATAGTGAGACTACAAAGAACTAAAATGGGCCCTGTCCCAGATGAGCTCTTGGTCAAATGAGGAAGACAGAAATACACCCAGAAGATTTAAAAATAGGGGCACCTGGGTGGCTCAGTTGTTTAAGTGTCCGATTCTTCGTTTGGATTCAGGTCATGATCTCACAGTTCTTGGGTTCGAGCCCTCTTGGATTCTGCACCGACAGGGTGGAGCCTGCTTGGGATTCTCTCTCTCCCTCCCTCTGCCCCTCCCCTGCTCGTGCTCGCTCTCTCTCTCTCTCAAGAAAAATAAATAAACTTAAAAAATAAATAAATAGGGACACCTGGGTGGCTCCGTTAGTTGGGCCTCTGACTTCAGCTCAGGTCATGATCTCACAGTTCGTGAGTTTGAGCCCCGCATTGGGCTCTGTGCTGGCAACTCAGAGCCTGGAGCCTGCTTCAGATTCTGTGTCTCCCTCTCTCTCTGACCCTCCCTGGCTCATACTCTGTCTCTTTCTCTCTCAAAAATAAATAAACATTAAAAAAATAACAGTAAATAAATAAATAAGTAAAAATAAAGTGGTAGGTGCTTCAGTAGAGGAAAGGATCTTTTAAACTTTTTATTTATTTTTAGTGTTTACTTATTTTTGAGAGAGAGAGGGGGAGAGAGTGCACATGCGCACGCACACAACAGGGGAGGGGCAGAGAGACAGGAAGAGAATCCAAAGAAGGCTCTGAGCTGTCAGCACAAAGCCTGACACAGGGCTCGAACCCATGAACCACAAGATCATGACTTGAGCCAAAGCTGGATGATCAACCAACTGATCCACCCAGGTGCCCCTAAGAGGAAAGGATTTTATACCGAGGAAGGAGAAAGAGAAGTAGAGATATGGAAGGCAGAACAGTAAATGAGCAGAAGGAGCAAGATAGCACTGGGGAAAGACAGCAAGAAGAGAGAAAGGGTGAGAGTCACTGACAGTTAATTACCCAGGGTGAAGCTCAGGGCCCTGAGGTGGCTGCCAAGGTTAGACTGAGCAGACAGACCAAATCCATAGGGCATCTACTGAGTCTTACTTGGTGGTAGAAGATATATGAAGTAAATAAATCAAAGGGTTTATACTCTAGCCATGATGGAAATAAACAAGCAGCAAAAATAATGATACCCACAAAACAGACTGACCAAGTTATGGAACTGATTAAAATTATGAAATAAGTTCAGAGAATAAGACTAATATGGACTAAGGTGCCTGGGTGGCTCAGTTGGTTGAGCATCCGACTTCGGCTCAGGTTATGATCTCGCGGTCTGTGAGTTCGAGCCCCACGTTGGGCTCTGTGCTGACAGCTCAGAGCCTGGAGCCCGCTTCTGATTCTGTGTCTCCCTCTCTCTCTGCCCCTTCCCCGCTCATGCTCTGTCTGTCAAAAATAAACATTTAAAAAAATTTTTTAAAAAGACTAATATGGGCTATCTTTACAAAAAAAAGGAAATGAACTTGGTTGTGAATAAGGGTATTCAAAAGGAAGGAGAGTATTCTGTTTGAAAGCAAGAGCATGAGTAAATGAATAGAGGTAGGAGTAAGAGCCAACACTTATTGAATGCTTACTAGGTGACAGGCAATGTTCTAAATTCTTCACATATGTTAATTTCATTCATCCTCAAAATAATCTTAGGAGATAGGAATTATCTCCATTTCACAGAGGAGCAACTGGAAGCACAAAGAAATAACATAATTTGCTCAAGGTCTCACAGAGTAAATAAAAGAGCTGGGATTTGAACCCAGGTGTCTGGCTTTTAACCACCATGCTACGTTGAGAACACAGTGTGCAGAGTTCCTGAATGCATAGCCTGGCCTGGCTGATGAATGTTCAGTAGTGAGAATGGAAGATACAAATAGTTCCACATATCTGTTCATGTTAAAAGAAACCTGCTGAAGATAATAAGAAGCAGGTTTCTCACTGGCAGAGAAGGAAGTTACAAATGAGGAAAGGAGAAAGTCTGGAGTGAACTCTGTGGTATTGACTGTGGTATAGAGTGAACTCTGTGGTATCAGAGGTATGAGTATGAACTCATGGATTCTTATATAGATAGATCGATTCAGGAATACAGATGTATATGCATGGGTTAGCATACTACATTTATTTCTTTAGCTCTGTCTGTGGTGAAAAGAAGTGACAGATACCCCAGTAGCAATAACCACATCTAGTGTCCAGATCTTGGTTTCTAATACTATTCTCCAAAGAACGTAACCAGGACTCCTTGGAGAAATGGTTGATTCTAGGGCTTAGGCAAGGAAAATATAAGATGACTCTGGAGCATCTTGTAGTGGTAAAAAGTTAGGAAGTGCTCAAAAATGGACTGGGGGCCATGTCAGAAGGGCATATCAAAAGCCTGCGTGAATCTGAAAAGCCAATCTAAAAGCTAAATGGGCATATTTAAAAATACACTTTAAAAAACTATTTAAAAAAGGCGGGGTGTGCGCCTGGGTGCCTCAGTCGGTTAAATGTCAGACTCTTTTTAAAAAAATTTTTTTTTCTTTCAACGTTTATTTATTTTTGGGACAGAGAGAGACAGAGCATGAACGGGGGAGGAGCAGAGAGAGAGAGAGAGACACAGAATCAGAAACAGGCTCCAGGCTCTGAGCCATCAGCCCAGAGCCCGATGCGGGGCTCGAACTCCCGGACCGCGAGATCGTGACCTGGCTGAAGTCGGACGCTTAACCGACTGCGCCACTCAGGCGCCCCATAAATGTCGGACTCTTGACTTCAGCTCAGGTCATGATCTCGCGCTCATGAGTTCGAGCTCCACATCAAGATCTGTGCTGGGTGCTGGCAGCACAGAGCCTGCTTGGGATTCTGTCTCCCTCTCTCTGTCCCTCCCCTGCTTGCTCTCTAACTCTCTCTCAAATAAAAATACACTTTAAAAAACTATTAAAAGATAAATAGGGGCGCCTGGGTGGCGCAGTCGGTCAAGCGTCCGACTTCAGCCAGGTCACGATCTCGCGGTCTGTGAGTTCGAGCCCCACGTCGGGCTCTGGGCTGATGGCTCAGAGCCTGGAGCCTGTTTCCAATTCTGTGTCTCCCTCTCTCTCTCTGCCCCTCCCCCGTTCATGCTCTGTCTCTCTCTGTCCCAAAAATAAAAAATAAAAAATAAAAAATAAAAAAAGATAAATAAATGGGTATATTAAAAGTCAATCTGAAAAGAACTCTTAAGGAGCTAAACTAGAAAAATTTGAGTAAAATAAAAATACAACACTGAATTATAACTCATAAAAGATTTCTGACATAACTGTACTATGGTTATGTCAACATTGTTTTGGTAATATGTTAACATTAAGGGAAACTGGATGAAGGATATGTGAGAACACCATGTACAATTTTTGCAACTTTTCTTTACATCTTAATTATTAAAAAAAAAAAAAAGAATTTAAAACAAAGCAACAGAAGGATAAATCTTAAAAATTTTTTAAAGAAAATGTTATCTATAGGTGGGGGGTGGATAGAAACTAGAATTAGTTGACTACATAATAGTTTGGAATTACATAAATATTTTATGTAATTATAAAAATAAATTAAATTTAAAAAATTCTTAAAAATCAAAAATAGAATGAAACAAATGAACATAAATGTATGTCCAGATAGTGACATAACTACACAGAGAGGAACTATTCCAAGTGACTAAAACATAGTAATTTGACTGTATATCCTTAGTAGGGACAAAAAGAACTTCCCTTCTCCTCCCAAAAAATCTTAAATTATTTTCAATAATATCATTGATAGTAGTGCTAGAAGTGTTATACTAAGATCGTTGTGGATGTAATGTAGGAAAAGGCAAATGAATGATATTCTAATCTTCTCATTGCTAGTGTTATTGAGAACCAGAATTTTCAGTATGAAGAAGAAATACTGAAGAAGATAAGTAAAGGAATATATAAGGTAAGGATGCTGTGCTTCTGAATTTAAATTGGTGGTATCAGTACCAATTTTATCATGCATGTATTTTACTTTTTAAAAGTTCCTACATATGTCCACAGAAAAGTCTTAAAAACAATAAGTAAAACATGCTGTGCACCTCTAGCATTCAGACTGAGACAGCCTGTAATACAATTTTTCACTAAAAGGAACCAGGGCTCCTTGGAGAAATGTCTCATCCTGGGTCAGAACCAGGAGATTATGAGATGTAGGGGCACCTGGCTGGCTCAGTCAGAAGAGCATGTGACTCTTGATCTTGGAGTCAAAAGTTCAAGTCCCACTTGGGTGCAGAGATGACATAAAAAATAATAAAATAAAATAAAATAAAATAAAATAAAATAAAATAAAATAAAATAAAACCAGGAAATGTGAATGATATTTTTGTTAGATCCCATCAAATCAGAGAGCAGGAGGGAAGCTGCCAAGTGGGAAAGTCTACTGGGGTCATGTTTAAAGGACTCAGAAGCCAACAGGAAGAGGCTCCCATTGGCCAAAGATGGAATAATCTGAACATGTAGAAAGACTAAAATTGCAGAGGACTGAAACACACGCATAAATCTGAGTTCATGATGATACACAACAACAAAAAACACACTGGCTACCTTGGAGGATGTTAGGGAACCAATTTCCTATATGCTGATAGCTGATAAATAAAAGCAGGGGGAGGGAAATCAAGCAATTTCTATGATATGAAATATATCACTGGGAAACCAAAAAGCAGATGAGAGGGTTTCTCTATACAGAAATGTTCTGGCTAATAAATGAAGAAAGGATGACAGAATAATACTACTTTGCAATCCATAAGGAAATAATGGACTTAGGTATTAAACATCAAAAGCTGCTAACATCACAAAAGGAGAGACAGACATATGAGACATTATATTCCTCCACTTATAAAACAGTACTGGAAAAAATCTAACTTGGATTTGATAGATCTTCTAGGTTCAACTATTTACTTACAGAAATTCTAGAAGAGCGTAAAACATGTCAAAAACACCTACTGATTACATTCAGCAAAATCCAGGCTAAGGGCAATTCTGTCGGACAAACAATCTAACTTCTTCAACAAATAATTTGCAAGGGGAAAAAGAGAGATAAAGATTGAGATAGAGATGGAGGGAGAACTGTGAAAGGCAAAAGGAACCCACAAAGGAGACTTCAAGAGACATCAAACCATTGGCATATGTTGAACATATTTGCATCCTGATTAAACAAAATGTAGTGTTTTAAAAATCATGACATTTAAGAGAGGATTAGAAATGTGAACATCAGGAGGGCCTGCATGGCTCAAGTCAGTTGGGCATCCTACTCTTTTTTTTTTTTTTTTTTTTTTTTTTTTTTTTTGAGATACAGAGCAAGAGCAGGGAAATAGCAGAGAGAGGAAGACACAGAATCTGAAGCAGGCTCCAGGTTCTGAGCTGTCAGCATAGAGCCCCATGTAGGGTTCGAACTCATGTACCACGAGATCATGACCTGAGCGAAAGTTGTATGCTTAACCGACTGAGCCACCCAGATGCCCCATCTGACTTTTGATTTTGGCTCAAGTCATGATCCCATGGTTCATGAGTTCGAGCCCCAGTTGGGGCTCTATGCTGACAGCATGGAGCCTGCTTGGGATTCTCTCTCTCTCTCTCTCTCTCTCTCTCTCTCTCTCTCAAAATAAATAAATAAACATAAAAAAAAATGTGGGGCACCTGGGTGGCTCAGTCAGTTAAGCTTCCAACTTTGGCTCAGGTCATGATCTCATGGTTCATGAGTTGGAGCCCCGTGTCAGGCTCTGTGCTGACAGCCTGGAGACTGCTTTGGATTCTGTGTCTCCCTCTTTCTGCCCCTCCCCCAGTTGCGCTTGCTCTCTCTCTCTCTCTCTCTCTCTGTCAAAAGTAAAACATTACAAAAAATTTTTAAAAACCTGCTCTTAAAAAGAATAGAAATGTGAACATCGGACAATTTGATATTCAAGAATTATGCTGATTGTTAGTAAGATAATGATATTGTTATTCCTTTTTATGTTTTTTTAAGTTTTTATTTATATTTATTGTGAGAGAGAGAGCACCCACATAAGTGGGGGAGAGGGACAGAAAGAAAGGGAGAGAGAGAATCCCAAGCAGGCTCCAAAGCATGGCTCAATCCCACAAATGGTGAGATCAAACTTGAGCAGAAACCAAGAGTCTGATACTTAACTGACTGAGCCACCCAAGCACCCCCATTATTCCTTTTTAAAAGTAGTTTTGGGGGGCACCTCTCTCTCGGCCCCTCTCATGTTCATGCTCTATCTCTGTCTCTCAATAATAAATAAACATTAAAAAAAATTTTAAAGTAATTTTTGGGGCACCTGGGTGGCTCAGTCAGTTGAGCATCTGACTTCAGCTCAGGTCATGATCTCATGGTTCATGAGTTCAAGCCCCACATTGGGCTAGCTGCTATCAGTGCAGAGCCCACTTCTGATACTCTGTCTCCCTCTCTCTCTGCCCCTCTCATGCTCATACTCTTTCTCTCAAAAATAAATAAGCATTAAAAAAAAATTTTTTTTTAATGTTTATTTCTGAGAGAGACAGAGACAGAGTGTGAGTGAAGGAGGGGCAGAGAGAGAGAGGGAGACAAAGAATCCAAAGCAGGCTCCAGGCTCTGAGCTGTCAGCACAGAGCCTGATGCGAGGCTTGAATCCGCGAACCTCAAGATCATGACCTGAGCTGAAGTCAGACGCTTAACCGACTGAGCCACTCAGGTGCCCCCAAAATAAATAAGCATTTAAAAAAAAGAGAAATTTTCTTTTAGAAATCATATTAACATATTTATGGGTGAAATTATATGATGGCTGGAATTTGCTTCAAAGTAATCCAGGAAGGGGAAAGCAAAGAGAAGATATACATGAAACAAGATTGGCATGAGTCCAAGTGTCAAAGCTGCATAGTGGGTACATGGAGGCTCATTATATTACTCTAAATTTTTTTTTTTCACAACTTCTACAATAAGAAGTTTTTTTCTTGTTTTTTTTAAGTGTTGGGATAGGGTGCCTGGGTGGTTCAGTCGAGCATCCAACTCTTGATTTCAGCTCAGGTCATGATCCCAGGGTCTGGGGGATCGAGCCCCGAGTCGTGCTCTGAGCTGAGCATGGAGCCTGCTTAAGATTCTCTCTCTCTCGGGGTGCCTGGGTGGCTCTGTCGGTTAAGCATCCGACTTCAGCTCAGGTCATGATCTCACGGTCTATGAGTTCAAGCCCCGCGTCGGGCTCTGTGCTGACAGCTCAGAGCCTGGAGCCTGTTTCAGGTTCTGTGTCTCCCTCTCTCTCTGACCCTCCCCGGTTCATGCTCTGTCTCTCTCTCTGTGTCTCAAAAATAAATAAATGTTAAAAAAAAAAAA